AAATGGGTCAATTAACACAGTTAACGGAATAATGAATGGGGGGAAAGTTGGAACTATCAACGAACAAGAAAATCCTCCACTCAGAAGGACACCGAGAAAAAATAAATAGAGTAATTTACGCCGAAAACTCAAATAAAGTGAATAATACCAGCAAGCGAACCTACAAAGAAATATCAGATGAAGATCCTGAAGTACGTAAAATACTGTTAGTCAATATTTCCGTTTCACCTATATCTAATTTTCAATATCTAGGTTAATGATGATGATGATGATGATGATGAGATTGACGATGAGATCGATGAAGACGACAACGAAGATGACTGCGAAGATGACTACGAAGATGACGACGAGAATGAAGATGAGGATGTCGACGAAGATGACGACGAGAATAAAGGCGAAGATGACAACAAAGACAAGAAGGCCAAGGAGAGAAAGAAGTTGGAGAAAAAGTTGATTGATGATTTTATTTCGAGATTTAAGGGATAAATGCGGACGACAAATGGAAACTTCCTTCGGGCAGATTTGTTGAAGACGTCTTATATGATTGGGCAGTGACCCACCGTTCTGAAACGTAGATATACTGCATTCATTGCATTGATCATACTGGTTACTAAATATATGTGTAATGACTAATCATTTCTTTATCTAAATATTTCATTAAGACTTGCACACTCATTTATATTAGATACTGATTGTCAGGAAGTTATGGATTTGTTTAGTCCTGAGGAAAAGGAGACAATTTTAAATACTAATAAAAAGTCTTTTCCGGCCGTACAAGATGATATCAAAAAATATGTCATGAAATATTACAAGGTATTCTGTTTGATAAAGATTGACCGAATTGAGACATTTATTCATACATCTTCTAAACCTCCATAGAAGAATGTCGACGATCTTCGAGAAACCGTCATGGAACCATATTTGAAAAATGGGGAGACCTATAATTCAAAATTACATTATGATTTGGAGTGGATTCACTTAGTGTTCAATAAATTGTGGGTTAACTCATCATTTATATAATATTTCAATCCGTGACTGATTTTTTTTCTTTATCAATGTAGTGTTATTGAATGGGAGCAAGGTGTGAATGCGTTAGCAGAGGATAATTTAGAAGCATGGATTGTAAGTCATGTATGGACTTTTATTGTTGATATGGCATTAAAGGACATTGAAGAAAATGGAATTAGATATGTTTTGGTTAGATTTACATTCACAGCTTCTAATTTTATCAGATATTGCACTTAATTATATCTGGTTACCTGTTTCAAGTTGCAGTGTTGAACGCAGCTTTTCATTATACAATTCACTTTTAGATGAAAATAGACAAAATTTGTCTAAAGAGTCATTAAAAAACTTAACAATGTTATATTTTAATGGAATTTAAATTTTTTTTTATTAATAAAATTTTTATTATATATAAATTCGTTGGCTACATAATTGTACATAATTGGCCATCCAGCATCACATAATTATACATAATTGGCCACCCTGTATCACATAATTGCACATAATTCGCTAAAAATTACTCACATAACATCACATAATTCATTTTTTATCACCACATAATTTGGGTTTTTGCATTGCATAAAATCACTGTCCCTGATTGGAATTATTTAACGTTAAGCAAAATTTTATTATGTGAGATTGGGATTTTCACGAATTTTACTGGTTTATTCCTTATCTAATATATCATTATCTAAAAATCGGACAGACAAAAACGTGACTTTTGTGTAGCCTTTTACTTATCCTTCGCTACAATAATAGATCAAAAATAAAAAATTAGTACACTCATTTATGATAAGCTGTAATAATTTGATACTTAATTCATTTAATTCTTAAGTGTACTAAATGAAGTTTCCCAACTCTGGCATGGATTTTTTATAAATGAAAAACTTATACTGTAGTCAATAGTATAGAACAATAGATTTGTTTTTCGATTTTACAGTATTACAATCAATAAAGCAGAGGTGTATTAACGCAATTTTTTTACATGTCAAGATTTTTATATGTTAGTGTGTGTTAGGGAATTTTTTTCATGACGGGCATCACGGGCATGCTAGTTATATTTCGAAAGATGTCAGAATTTGCATATGATAATCTTCATAAACCCTCCAAATAACTCTGTGTTTATGACAATAAGTTAATCAAATACATAGGTGAAATACATAAACTAGATAACCATATTCAGGCTTCGAGCTTGCTAAAGACAGAGGATAAACAAACTATTAAATATATACATATCTTAAATAAAACAATGGCAAGCGCACAATCTACAATTAATTCATTGAAGGAATTGAATTCCAGGCTTATAGCCAAAATCGATAAACTTAGAAAAGAGAATGCTGAAATTACTAGACTCAGAAAGGAAAATACTGAAATTCCAGAACTTAGAAAGGAGAAGGATTCGCTTATAGCAAGAATCGTGAAATTTGAACAATCCACAAAAGAAAATGTTGAAAACGCGACATTAAGAGATTTTGATCTCAATACCAAAATAGTTCAGATAGTAAAAGAAAACACTAAACTTAAAGCTAGAGTTGCGAAATTAGAACAAAACCAGTCTCAAAATGACGAAGAAAAGAGCAACTCTAATGTATTACGAAGTAATGATGCTTCTGTATCTAAATCAGATGATGATACCAGGGGAATCGAACAATCTACGGTTAAAACCATCTCCACCAAAATGGAAAATTCTAACGATACCCCCGAACTGATGGACTTACAAACTAAGGATGCTCCGGCATCTGATATAACTAATAACGTTTTTCCAGAATTATCTGAAAATGAACTCAATAATGCTCCAAATTCTGATGTATCTTTTGAAAATAAAGAGATCAAATTTCTGGAACGGGCGCATAAAGAACAGATTAGAAATGAAATGGGAGCGAGAAACTGGGATAAAACGCTATTATGAAATAATGAAGTATCTATTTCCCAAGATCAAGAACTGATACAAAAGAATTTTATACCCAAAATCGATTAGAACGTTTCAGAAAACCCGATTAGTCAAACACAAAGTAACATTTCTTCCGAAATTAAAATTCCCTATAATCAAAAAGTTAAACAAGGTTTAATATATGAGTTATCTACATTTATTAATGAGAAAATCCTTTGGAATACTATATCTGATAAACAAATTCTTGAAAATATGCTAGATAGAGATGATTTAATTCTGGATTCTGTATCACATTTGGCTCATTTATTCAACAAGGCTAAAAAAACTGAACAGAAAGAAATTTTACGTTGGTATTATTATAGTGAGGAATTCGAAAAAAAGGTCAGAGATATTAGCTTAAAAAACGAAATTAATGCCTCCGAGACAAATAATAGTAATTCCCCCGAGACGAATGATAGTAATACCTCCAGGACCATTAATAATAACCCAGTGCCATTTAAACCAAAATCTGTGAAAGTTACTGAAACTTGTAAGAAAACTTTATACCATGTAACTATATTTATGAAGCAATATTGTTACGATTAAGCCTTTTTTATTCTTTTTAAAATTAGATAAATGTGAAGTAGAACAAGATGAAATGAAGATAACTGAAATTAAAATTTTGAAATCGAAATCTAATAACAGTTCATTGCTAGACCAAATTAAATCCCAAAAAATGCTAGACAAAAAATGAATATAATTTTTATTTTTTTTATTATAAAATAATATATTTTTTTATTTGTATATTGCATGTTCAGCAAAAAAAAATATTAAATAAAGGGTCCTATGCCCCTCACCAAATTTTATTTTTATACGATTGTGTAAATTGGACAGGATTTTATTAGGTTAAAATAAAACTTTTACTTATTATAGTCTACGTGATGTTCGCTCTATGCTTTCACATTTACTATAGGGATTCCACTAAAAGTTTTATTACAACAATAGAGGCGATACGTTTTTTTGCTACAATAATTACCAGAACCCCATTCACCCTTTATATTTTTCCATATACTTTCTTTATGATCTTCATTGCATAAAGGACATATTCCTGAATAATCATAATAATCGCTATTTTTAATACTATGTTTAAGCGATAAATTATTGAATTGCTTCAATGTGGTATAAATAATAAGATTTCATTTTTCTTCTGGATCTTCAGGTAAAATAGAAATTGGAAGATGAGAATTGAGAGATGCATTTTTGTTTATAGGTAATACGCGTACCTCTGTTTTCTTTTTGTTATTTTTGATTTGTAAGAATCTAGAAGTTTCAGAGTTTATCCAAGGATCGAGTCCAGTTTTATTCTTATATCTTTTATATAACCTAGAACGAATTTTATCTGTCAAAATACTTGGCAATTCTGTTAATTTAGCCTCCCACTCCAAATATTCGGGGGTTAATGTTTTATTGGCTTTTGCTTGTGTATTCATGTTATCGTTTTATATGATTTTCATCTCTTTAAATTAACAATAACTGACAAAAATAAATACGCCTCAGAACCTTTTTTCTCATAAATTTGAAAAAAGAAAAAAAAGTGATTAGCTTCTGTTTAAATGTAAGTGATCACTTACTTTCTGGCTTCGAGCAAATATTGTGAGAAGGCAGGGTTTATGCTGTTACCTCAATTTCAATTCCACGCTGTCGCATTTAAGATTATAAGATCCAATTTCATATCTGCCTTCTATACTATTTTTATCATTATGATTTGACTTGCATAGCGGGCATAAAGATTCATCAGTAATTCCATAATAATTGTCATTTCCATCACTACTTTCTCGACATAAATTAGGATATTGCTTTAATATTTTTTTATGGAAATAAACATGATTATAAGGTGGATTGGCTGAAATATTTACCTTAGTTGAATTATGTGGATTTATTTTCGATAAAGAATTAATTTCACAGTCAACATCATTATCATCACTAATGGAGTAATTTTCATTATCATCTTTATTATCATTATTAGCATCATCCACATCCTCTTCATCAACATTATAATTATCATCATCAGAGGATTCTGAGTTATAATCTGAAGAATCATCGAATATATTTGTCTGTATCTCGGTTAATTCCTCTTGAATCATTTCTGGTAATTTTGAATCTTGATTGTTTTCTTGGGATGGTTTAGTCACGTGCGCGTGAAGATTCTTCACGCCGACTACTTTTTGACATTCTGTTTTTTCAAAGAAAAGCTTTATGATATTTTGGATTTGAACACTCGTTAAACTAGAAATAGCATCAGCACTATATGTAACTTGATTGATTTTATTTATTCCTATTTCTTTGAACAATGTATAAATATTTCTAGCCTT